AGGCTGATGTCTAGGAGAGTGTTTCCAACTTTTTCCTCTAGAGTTCTAATAGTTTCATACCTTAGGTTTAAGTCTGTTATCCAGCATGAGTTGATTTTTGTGACAGGTGAAAGGTGTGGGTCCTGTTTTAGCCTTCTGCAGGTGGCTATCCAGTTTCCCAGCACCATTTATTGAAAAGGGATTCTTTTCCCCAGCGTAGTTTTTGTCTGCTTTGTCAAAGATTAGATGGCTATATGAGGATGTTTTTATATCAGGATTCTCAGAGCTGTTCCACTGGTCAATATTCCTATTTTTGTGCCAATACCATATTGATTTAATTACTACAGCTTTGTAGTATAGTTTGATATCTGCATAATAATGCCTCCCATTTTGTTTTGTTGCCTAGAATTGCTCTTGATATCGGTCTTCTTTGGTTCCATACGAAGCGTAAATTATTTTCTATATCTATGAAGTATGCTGATGGGATTTTAATAGGTATTGCATTGAATCTGTAGATCAGTTTGGGTAGTATAGACATTTTAATGATGTGAGTCTGCCGATCCACGAGCATGTATGGATTTCCATCTGTTACATCCTCTGCTATTTCCTTCCTCAGTGTGTTCATAGTTCTCCTGTAGGGTCCTTTACGTCCTTGGTTAAGTATATTCCTAGGTACTTTAATTTCTTTGTTGCTATTGTGAAGGGAATTGAGTCTTTGATTTGGTTCTCAATTAGATTGTTGTTGGCGTATATGAATGCCTCTGATTTCTGTGTATTGATTTTGTATCCTAAGACTTTACTAAATTCATTGATCAGTTCTAGGAGTTTCTTGGTTGAATCTTTGGGGTTTTCTACATACAATATCATATCATCAGCAAACAGTGAAAGTTTGATCTCTTCTGCCCCTATTTGGATACCTTTGATTCCATTTTCCTGTCTGATTGCTGTAGCCAAGACTTCTAGCACTATGTTGAACAGAAGTGGAGATAGTGGGCAGCCTTGTCTGGTTCCAGTTCTAAGTGGGAATGATTTCAATTTTTCCCATTCAGTATGATGTTGGCTATGGGTCTGTCATATATGGCTTGTATCATTTTTAGGTATGTCCTTCTATGCCTATTTTTTAAGTGTTTGTCGTATATGAAGGGTGTTGATTTTGTCAAAAGCTTTTTCTGCATCTATTGAAAGAATCATGTGGTCTGTTTTTGCTTCTGTTTATGTGGTGAATTGCATTTATAGATTTACGTGTGTTGAACCATCCCTGCATCCCTGGGATGAAGCCCACTTGGTCGTGGTGGATTATTTTTTTGATAAGTGTCTGGATTCGGTTAGCTAAGATTTTGTTGAAAATTTTTGCATCTATATTCATTAGGGATATTGGTCTGTAGTTTTCTTTTTGTTGCATCCTTTCCTGGTTTGGTATCAGAGTAATATTCGCTTCATAAAAGGTGTCGGGGAGGTTTCCGTTCTTCTCGATGTTGTGGAATAGTTTCTGCAAGATAGGTACTAGTTCTTCTTTGTAAGTGTGTTAAAATTCAGGTGTGAAGCCATCTGGACCGGACTTTTCTTTTTAGGGAGATTTTTAATTGCTGTTTCTATTTCAGCTATTGAGATTGGTCTGTTCAGGGAATCTATTTCTTCCTGGTTGAGCCTAGGGAGGCTGTGTGTTTCTATGTTTTTTTTTAATGGATAGGTTCTTTTCCTATTATTCTGCAACTTTTTAAAATTTTCTACTTAAAATGTTTTGAAAATCTTTGCATGTCAGCATGCACAAAGCCAATTACCTGGCACTGCTCATTTACAATGAGTCCTCCCTTCCAGAAATACTGTTTATCTTTCTATTTATTTAGGTCTTTGTTTATGTATTTTAGTAAATCATATAGTTTTTGAATTTTTGGAAATTTTATAGTTTCAGTTGCTGATGTGATTGTGAGTTTTATTTTACGTTTTCTAAATTGGCTCTGCTAATATTTAGGAAAGCCACTGGTCTTGAATCTAGCCATAATGCTAAACTCCTAATCTAATAGCTTGATTCTTATAGATATTCTAGATAGACGATCATTTTATATGCAAATATTGGGAGTTTCTTCTTTCTCTTCCCTTAACCAATAGAATTGTTTGTTCCTTTACTTTGTCTTATGTTATTGGATAAGATCTTTAGTATGATGTCAAATAAGAGTGATGATTAGGGGGGCTTCTTTAATTTTTTTGTGTGTTTAACTGAAAATGTTTCTAATGTTATTATGACATTTGTTTTAGGCTCCTGATATGTGGCCTCTTTCTAGGATGGAAATTTTCTGATGGCTTTTAATTAGGAATAGCTATTGAATTTTATTGACTGCTTTTTTTTTCTGTACTATTTTCTATATCTGTTGAGACCATCTTATTGTTTAACTTATTTTTTCTGTTAATGTAGTGAATTCTATGGATGGAGCTTCTGCTCATGTTATTTTGTACTTCTCTTGTACTTCAATTTGACAGTTTTAATCTTTGAAAATGTTACCTGTTTGCATGATCGTCACCCTCCTCTTCCCTGAAAAAATAACCCTGAAAGGTCTTTGAAAACCATATAACATTCATATTGCGGATGTATCTTTATGAAAATTCATGTGTGTTATGCCATCTGAGTAACACTGTAGCCATGCAATTAAGTGTTATTCTTAAGTCCTGAATATGTATAAACTGAAGCTGGGGTCTGAGGACTCAAACCAAGTTAGAGCCGGAACTAGGCCTCTAATTTAAGTGCTATTACTCTAGGGCAACTGCTCTTTTTGCCAACCCATGAATGATAATTGCTCTAGCTTCATGGCATTCATCATCTGAGGCAGTGTTCATATTTTCCACATTTGTTGGGGAACTTCAGCAGCTGAAAAATGGTGTTTTCACTACCTGAATGTTAGTTAATGACACTTCCCCAACTGGAGGAAGAAGGGATTGATCTGATGAAAGTTTTCATGTTAGTACCCGTTATTGACCAATGTCCAGTCAACCAGCCCAATTCAAGTGCTGATATAAATACATACAGCAAAAAGATTGTCATTAAAAAGACTCTCGGCACTCCTTACTGAATCTCAGGCGACTACCAAAACTTGACCTCTCTTAGAACCATAGAAGATCAAAGTGGCAGGGCCCTCAGAGCTAATCTATGCCATCTCTCTCTCTCTCTATTTTATCTCTTTTAACATGGGTAAAATGAGATTTAGCAAAGAGAAATGACTTTCACAAGTCAAGCTGTGTATTACCAAATGTCTCAGGAGGCCTAGAGGTACCTATTTTCAATTTGGTTTAATTACTTGCTTGCTCTCACAGACTAAAGGCTTCTTAAAGCCTGGCTGCTTAAATCTTCTCTCCTTATTATGAGATAGTAAGCCACTTAAATGGTTGTTGGGCAAAAGTCAGATTTTAAAACAAATTTGGAAATGAAAATGGTGGCAGAGGTGATTGTGAATTTCATGGGCTGCAAGGGAAGTTTTGTAGACCTGGATACTTTCCTAGCTCCAATCAGTGAGGCACAATGATCACAAAGATTGAACCCCGAGTAGAGTGCTGGTCTTTTTCTTAATGGAGCCACATCTGATGCACTGTCAATTTTGGATTCACAGGCAGACTATGCGCTTCATGTCACTATGTAAATAATTAATTTCTAAAATTAAAAAATTTCCTTTCATTGTCTCAACATATGATAAAAGAAAACAATAAGCATCACTTGGAATGTACTTTATATTCAACTTGGGTCTCACCACAGCATCAGCAACAATGTGTTAGCCTCACTGTCAAGATGGAAAGCAAAACCAAGTCTAGGGAACACTTTGGTTATCCAAAAAGAGTATTGGAAAGTAATTTTTTAAGATGATTAAAACTGTTGCAAGGTTTGACACATATTAAATTTCTACATTATCTACAAAATAGGCTTGCTACATGCTTATTCAGTTTTATTTAGGCATACTAGAGGAATATTTAGATAGATGTGTCCCTGTTTCCTGAAGCGTTTTAGTTTGCAATATATCCAGATGACTGTCATATCATTATAAGAACAGGAAATAATACATTTTAACAAAGTCCAAAGAAAACATTATTTAAGAATATACTTACATATACATAAATAGAACATTTTAAAAAATGGTAGTATGCAGGTTGTGTTGGGTCTGTTTTGGGTATGTGTGTGATGAGATAGGTTATGAAACATCACGATGAAACCTTGATTTGATATAATAGGTAGAATACATTTCTACCTTTTTCTCATTCTGATGAATTTCTGCATTTTGCAAAGCCTCCAATATTCAGCCAGTGGTACCTGTGTTTGCTCATGTTGATATGTTATTCTGTAACTGTTTTCAATTCCTTTCATGCTTAGTCTAATCAATAAGACTGAATTTACGGTCCGGAAAGATATGGTCATTTTTGCAATTTTATTCAGATCATCTCTGCAGCCAAAAAGTGTATAGTTAGTGCATGTTCAGTATGGTGATGCGAACTAACATGTAGGAGATACAGAAGCACTCAGATAAAAACATTAATCAGATTCAAAACGTAAGTCCCTACTTCAAACATCAGGCAATAATAAAAGCATTTTAAAAGGCCATGAGCAAATGTGAAACCAATTCTGCAGGGGTGTGGCTGGAGAGCAAATGATTTCTCCTTAACTGAACTTCTAAGACTTTGTTCTCTATAATTCTTCTATATGTTAACCTTCCTGTAGCTTAAAAGAAAACAAAATAAGACCAAAAAGAATAAGGGTCTTCAACTTATATACCTCCTCATAAGATTTCCATGGTTGCTTAAAGAAATCTCGAGACAACACCCACTAGAGTTAATGAAGATAGGAGATGCCTAGCAAACAAAATGCTGCCACCTCCTGGTGAAATAGTACACAATATTTTCTCCCCCGCCACTTTCACACACATTCAAAAGAATTATTCTAATAACAATATGATTTGTATTATACTTTATAGCAAACAAACACTATCACACATGCATTGTCTCATTTAATGCTCACAAAATCCTTATGGGGTAACTTTTATTACCTGCATTAGACTGAGGTTCAGAGAGGGTATGCAACTTCCAGAAGGTCACACAGTGATTGGCAGATGCAGGACTCAAACCTTAACAAAATGAAGATGCATTATGGTTTAACACAAATGAAGAGTGAAGCATTATTGTGTGTACTGACAAATATTAAACATGTCTGTCATGCACTCAGCAGAAATGTGTGGAGTCTTTTGTCCGATGATGTACTATCACAGGTTTGTAGTGTGTGACTGACATACAACTCTCTCTTTCTGGCTCTGCAGAGTGTAACAGTGTCCCCCTCACCTGAATCTTGGGAGACAGGGGAAGAGCGGGTTAGGGAGCAACCCTTTCTCTTCTGTCACCCTCGAACCAGACAAAAGACATCTACTCTTTCTACCCTTAAAATGTTCTCAGTATTCTTAAAATGTAAATTGAATAAAAGAAAAACTTTTGGAGGCTTTTTAATAATCCAAAATCTGCGCTACTGGCTCCCACACCCAGCTTCTCTCTCGTCATAGCCCACGTGCACGGTCCTATCTCACCCACGACCCCTGAACATTCCTTTTCAGACGTTAGGTGCTTTCGCAGCTTTTCATCTGACTCTACCTAGCAATACCCTGTTTATCCCTCAGTCCGACCTCCTCTATTATTAATGCTTCCCCGATCTCTTTAATGCATATTCAGTGCTTTCCCAGCCACCAGTGGGGCTTATTTCCTCAAGTTCTGATCATAGCTCATTGTTTTCCTTTCTGTAAGCCTACGTCACTAGTTTGTCCACCTAGAGGACAGAGACTCATCCTCATGAATTTCTGTAACCCCTAACAAAACTTTGCATAGATGTTCAGTAAATATTACACTTTTATTGAATTGTCACACTTATGAAAAAAACTGTGAAGCACCACCTGATTATAAGAGCCAGAGTGGATCTTTTCATAATATCGGGGACATAAGGAGACATGTTACCATGGTCACTGCTTATCAAATCATGAAGAGACAAATGAAGGCAGGAATGCCACCTCCACTCTTATATTTGTTCTTTTCTATGCAGAAGCAATAATTCTTAGAAAGATATTTCTTGTACAGCATCCCCCCTCCCTACTTGTGCATCAAATTTTCAAATTCCTGCTAACAGAAAGCATTCATGTTAGGGTTCCTTGTTTGATTGATGGCATTTGCAATCAGGATATTGATTCCCAAGCAGGCTTTTCTGGTCCTATGTCTAAATGATATTGGCTGCAGGGTAACACTAGTATAAATATTCCAGTGCTATTCTACCCTTGCTATGGGCTCTCTCCCTCTCTCACACACACACACTTTTATTTTGAAGTAATTTTTAACTCAGAAAAGTTATAGAAATAGTACAAATAATTCTCATAATTTATTCTCATTAATTTATACTATGGTCTTTTCGAGGGCATTTAGTTTCTAAAAAATGATTTACCAACATGCAAGGATATTAAAAGCATTATTTATTATAGCAAAAATTAGGAATGACCTAAATATTCCAAAAAAAGAGGACTGGTTACATAATTATATCAAAATGATGAATCTGTAGCCATTAAAAATCAAATTCTTTAAAAATACTTAAAGGGAAATGGTCAATATATTATTTTGCTGGTGCTGCCATAATGAATTATCATAGACTAGATGACTTAAACAACAGAAATTTATTTCTCAGCTTTCTGAAGACTAGAAGTCCTGGCTGCTCCTTCCTGAGGCCTCTTACTTTGGATTGCGGATGGCTGAATTTTGCTGTCTTCACATTTTTTTTCCCTGTGTTTGTACAACCTTGGTGTCTCTCCTTTTTCTTTTAAGGACACCAGTCATATTGGATTGGGGCTCCACCCTTATCCCCTCATTTAACCTTAATTACTTGTAAAAGCCCTATTTCCAAATACAGTCATATTGGGAGTTAGGGTCTCAACATATTAGTTTTGGGGGAACACAATTCAGTGCATAATACTCAAAGTATCTTAAGTGAAAAATGTTTATCATGTTTGTAGTGTAACTTCAATTTTTTAAACACATACATATACAGAGAAACAATGGTGTGGAAGTTTACATGTAAAATTTTAAGAGCTGGTATTTCTGAATTGTGAGATTATGAGTCATATTAATTTACTTCCTACTTTATTGCATTTTTCAATTTTCCATAATAAGCTACTATTACTTCTATAATCAGAGCAAATGTATTATAAGTAACACACAAAACTTCTTTAAAAGCTTGCAGGTTCTTTCATGTATATTAATGTATTTAATCTCTGCAACTATGCTATGAAGCAGAAACAGGAATAATTTTTTTTTATTTATAGACAACAAAATTGAGGCTTAGAAGGGTTTAGTTATATGGCTACTTAGCCTAATAATCACAATAGGACTTCTAACTATCAATCCAATGATCTATTCATCATACCACAATTCTCCAAAATACTTTCTTTCAATAAACACAGAAAAGTCTAACAATGCTCTATGATTATTCCCAAAATTTATGAATGATGCTTATAAAAATAGGAGAAATAATAACAGCAGTAGTTATATTGGAGCAATTGTTTCATAGGGATCATTTAAACTTAGTCTTTCATGGAAAATTTGTGATACAAATAAATATTTTTAAAAAGTAACCTGGCATCAAAACTGTCACTGACTTACTTTTTTACTCTACGCTACATTTTTATTATTGTTATACATTTATGAAGATGATGCATGGAGACTCCTTTAAGAGACTCCACTGGGTATTTCAAGAGATACGACTACCTGTAAGGACGCATACATGAAACAATCCTCTAGACCAGGGGTCCTCAAACTTTTTAAACAGGGGGCCAGTTCACTGTCCCTCAGACTGTTGGAGGGCCAGACTATAGTTTTAAAAAAACTATGAACAAATTCCTATGCACACTGCACATATCTTATTTTGAAGTAAAAAATCAAATGGGCAAAAACACCTGCATGTGGCCCGTGGGCCGTAGTTTGAGGACGCCTGCTCTAGACAGAGGTGAAGGGAGAATTGGGGAGGCTGGAAATTATTACAAGAATTTTAGAGATTTGTAAGCACAGAAATGTTTTGCCATTCTATCAATACGAAAAATATGGCCACACCTATTTATGTATGTGTTTGTGTGTGTGTGTGTGTGTGGGGGGCATAGTTCTGAATATGAGGTGTCTTTTAGTTGAAAGGTTGGGAATTAATGCTTTAGGTTAATAATATAAAAATCCCATTTATAATATACTCTTTTCCACTCTCCATTCCTATCATGAAATAAACTATTACAACAATCACAGTATAAATGGCTATTTTCGGAGGTGAACTTAACTTTGTATTTGCTAGTGAATTGAGCTCAACTAAGACACTGAGCACCACCTACCTGCAAGATGTGCTGCACCTGCTCCGAGCATCACTCTGGAGAAGTGAGGATGATGGAGAATAAAGAACTCTATTAAAATGTGGCCAAAGAGCCCCTTCTTCAATTCAACATTTAGCACCTATCACAAACCCAGGATGATATATGATGAAAATTTTACCTGTGGTTTGTGGATGGAGTTTTGGGGCCAGACATCAATATCTGTTTCAGTGGTCAGTGCCTCCTTGCTTTGTGCTAACTAAACTTCATCTAGGTTTTCAAGGAGCTCTTGTCATTTATGAAATGACAGACATCTGAACTAAAAGAAATGACAAAATGTATTTCAATACTTTTCAAAAAGGGTCCATAGCTTGATGCCAATTGTCTCAAGGCAAGCAGCTGGGCATTCCCTTCCAAGCAGGCTCCTGAACAGCTGTCATGCCTAATCTGGGTGAGAGATGAAAGACTGACCTAGGGGTTAAAGTCTCCACTGCCTGCTGCAAATCCCCTGAGTTATCTAATCTGTCCAGCGGCACAAGCTTTTTGCAAAGGAAGCGTTATTTTATAACTGACTCTTTAACAAAGGGGATATCGCAACCGTTAGCAAATGCAGTAAGTAGTTGTCCTGAGATAATATTGCCTGGAGAAGTTCTATAGAGTTTTCTTTTAAAACAAAACAAAACAAAACAAAACAAACAAAAAAACCACAACAACTTCAAAAGGACAGATAAATATCTGGAAAGTCTGTACAGACTATGCACAAGAAGCATTGCATTGTATGGTGAAGTACAGCCTGGTTTCCTAAAGGAACACACTCACACACACACACACACTCATACACACGCATGCACACACTTTTGCGAACACCATAAGCCTCAAATCCTGCACATGGTCTTGTTGCTCCCAACGAAAAGTTGGGAGAATCAGTATTGCAAATTTGGCTAAGTCTCTGGGCTTCAGTGTTTTCATTTGTAAAACAAAATAAACGGGGATTTAGACTAGATTGCGAATCCATGGCATATCATCATTCTTCATTCTTGTGCCCATAACAGACATAATTAATTGGTCATGGCACCTCCCACCAGCTCTCACAAAGCCTCAGAATTTGCAACAGAAATTGGTCTGAATTAGCATGTGAGAGAAAACCTATCTGCTTTGCTTACAATTTAGTGATGCCTGTGGTCTCTTTCATCAGGAGTCTCAGCAGCCTTAGGGGCTCTGGCTCATGGTGGCACCTCTGGCACAGCATAGTATAATTGGCATCAATAGGGCATAGTGACAACAGAAACACCAAGATATTTTTTTGGAGAGATCTCAGGTTTCAGAGCACCAAGATATTTTCTGGCGAGGAGATCTCAGGTTTCAGAGATAACACATGTGTTACTCCTGGGAAGAGGGGTGCACATCGGATCCAGAACTTGAGCAGATAGGAGAAGAGCAGAAAGCCACTTCGCCTGGAAGGGAATGTTCATGGGTATACACCTCAATGAACTCCCAAAATACTGGGGAAGTGGGGAATTGGAGAGTCCACAATAGCAGGAAGGGGTAGAGTTAGGAAAAAATTCTCTATATTGTTAGTGATACCCCTCCCCCCTTTTAAAGCTAGCCTGGTATATTCTGATATAAAGATTACATTGATATGACTACTTCGGTAATTCTTAGCATAAGAATCACAGAACAAAATAATTCTTCTTTTCCTTCTCCTTCTCCTTCCTCTTTTTCTGGAGTCAGGGTCTCACTCCAGCCCAGGCTGGAGTGCAGTGGCTATTCACAGGCGCAATCATCTAGCAAGACAGCCATTTAAGCAATCCTCCTGCCTCAGCCTCCCAAGTAGCTGGAACTATAGCATGTGCCACTGCACCTGGCTTGCAGAATAAAATTCTTAAATAGAATTTTAAGAGCAGGAGAAGACTGCTTCTACTTGGACCAGATCCAAGTTGGCTTCATGAGATCACTTAAGAGTTTGTTAACAATCTGATTCCTGAGCCCAGTTCCCAAAGATTCTAGTTCAGTAGGTTTGGCATGGTTTTAATAAGTTCCTTAGGGGAAGGCAATGATTACCCAGGTTTGAAAATAAATAATCTACTCCAAATTCATCATTTTTAAGACAAGAAAACCAAAATAAAATTAGAGGAAAGAACTTGCCAAATATCACATAGCAACTTAGTGATGAATTTGGAAATACAATCTTGGTTTTCTGACTGCCAGTCCCATGTCAAATAGGACTGCCAGGCCTATTAACCCCAGGTTAATTTTTCTGGGGTTTCTTGAAACAAATGGCCTATCATGTCAGTGTGTTCTGTATTTCAACAATGCCAGTAATGCTAATATGAAACAGGCTGCCTTAGAAGTTTAAACAGAGGACAAACGCTACCCAGAAGGAAATCTGTGGATAAATGCATCAGATGGGTAGTTAGACTTTACCTTCTAGTTTTATGTAAATCTATTCTTTGCCAACTCACTTGTTGGAAAATAGTGAGGAATTGAGGCTCTACTTGCTTAAACACAAAAGTTTAATCTCTGGTTAAGAAAAAGAAGCTAGGACAAGGATAGGTGGCTCTTGGCAATGATTTGAGCCTCTTGACAACTATTGTTCTCTAGTCCGACTCTTCACCGTCTCCTGTCTCATACATATCGCATCAGCTCTCTAACGGGGTCCACCCCCCTGACATATCCCCAGAGTACCTCGCACATGCTGCTGCCAGGAGGGTCTTCCAGTTGCACTGATTCCATCATGTTACTCTGCTGAAAAACCTTCAGTGACTCCTCCAACGGGCCAAAGTCTAACCATCAAGTTGGCAGTTAAGACCTTTTATAATGTGACTGTTATCCTATCTCTTTACATTTTCTCCTACTATCGGGCATCAATTCTGCTTGCGTCTAAATAAGCTTTCCCATTGTTTCCACTTTCATTCACATTCCAAAATATTTTCAAATTCCTGCTCAAATGCTATCTAACCTAGTGTCCACCTCATATTACTTACTCATCGAGAAACACTTATTGTGCACTAACTATGTGGTTGGCACTGGAGATTCTTAAGAGAACAACTCAGCTTTGATCTGTGCCTACTTCTGGTGGAAAAGCCTAATGTTATATACCAAATCACCAATGATGTAAGGAGTGCTCCAAAAAGGAGAGTAGGTGCCACAGACACATCTAAAAGGGAGACATGACTTAATATGTTAGCCGTTCCCTTTGGGAAACTGTGATCTCACCAGTTTCTGAATTTTTTTTTTTTGCCTTTATTGTCTACATATTTTTGTATCTAGATACATACTTGTAATTTAGCTATTTCCTTTGTGTTCGTTTTCTTTCCCCAGTTAGATGGAAACTTCTTATAGGACAGTATCATATCTTAAATGCTTTTAATAGCTTAGTAAATTACTTACTAGTGTAGACTAAATCAGTAGACTCAAAGAATGCTTAGTAAAGACAGCATTTCTTTATGCTTTATAACTTTAAGGTGATTTCACTTCTGTTGTTTTATTTGATCCTCTCAATAATCCTATGGATTAGGTACTAAGATTCCCAATTTAGAGATAAGAAAACTGAAACTCAGAGAATTTGAGGGACTTATCTAAGCCCAAACAGCCAATAATTTATGGAATCTGAACAAGAATCTAGAGACTTTCATTCTTATTTTAAACTTTTTTCCAGGGTAACATGATAGATACCAAATGAATGAAAAAATAAATGGTTTTCTTATCATTTCTTACTAAACATTCTTTTTTTCCCCTTTCTTTCCTTTTTCTCTCTCTTCCTTCTATGCTCATCCATCTGCTTCGTATCTTTCTTTGCCACTAACCATGCCTCCAGCTTGTTAGTGACAACCCATCGCACTTCTAGGTTGTAAGCAGTTGTTTTTTAAGAGGCTCAGTAGCAAAAGAGACAGTTGACTCTATCCTGCTGGCATCTGTGTTCAGTTGTCTTAGGGAAAGTTTCCCAAAAGTATACCCTGAGACCACGATGTGTGTGTGTGAGTTATTAAGAAAGTGCTCCTGGGAGAATCCAGTAAGGCAGCGAGGGGAACAGGATGCAGAAAGGGAAGAAGCCAAGTAAATTCTGGCAAAGCTCCAACTTCAGTCCTATTCCACAGGGCACACTGGAGTGTGAAATACACATCAGATTGGCCCTCTTGAGGCAAGGGAGCTGGGCTTTCATGCTTCTTCACCAGTCTATCATTGGCCAACAGCCACCCCAGGAGGATATAAACTCCAGATATTCAGCTTTCTGCATAGTTGAGCAAAGTTCTTCTGAAAAGAGTTGTAGGTGTGAGCCTTTTAAGGCAAAAGCACACTGGAATCAAGGGAAGAGTATGCCGAAATAGTAAAAAGGAGAAAAAATAAATCCAAGGGGATCTGGCCAGGGCACTAACAGTGTCTGCTATAGCAGTTCTAAGAACTATAATGCAAGGATATTTTTTACATTTTAGGACATCCAAAATTTCTTAAGGGTCTGATCCGTGTATTAGACCATCACCTCAAAGAGACACACATGTTCAGAGTGGCCAGTATTCGTAAGTCCCCAAACCTCTAGGCTCTGTATAAAAAACAGCAATTCTAGTGTATCTGAGAGCCTTCAATAAGGCTGTTCTCCCTTAAAACGAACTTCCCAGGCCTCCATCCTAAGACTCTGCTCTCGCAGGATATATCATATGCTGAGCTGCATAATCTTATATTATGTCATAATTCTCGTAGTTGCAGGGCAGAAGGAAAAGGCAGTTTTCCAGCCTGCCTGGTTCTAAGATGGAACAGTGCTGCCATGTGACCGCAGGAAAATTTCAGTCCTATTAGCTAGAATGACATGAGGATAATGAATAAAAACCTTCTGTAGCTGAGAATCATCCCTTGGGAGGGAAGGCACACAGCCTGGAGACCCGGAGAATAGGAGTTGCAGTTCTCCTTGGAAAGTAGGGTATAAACTCAGAAAGTCAGAACCAAACCTGTGGGGTTTGCTGGCGCATTATGGGGCAGCCTTTCACCATAGTCTCTTTGTGGCTTATTTATGGATTCCCTGGGCTCCACATCTATTTAATTAAAAAAAGAG